AGAGAGAGAGAGAGAGAGAGAGAGAGAGAGAGAGAGAGAGAGAGAGAAACAGGTTATAGCCTTTGCTCTGACATTGTCTCAGGGCCTCAGTTTTACCTATAGTATAAGAGGGTAGTGGACAAGGCTATCTCCAACGTCCCTTCTTATTACAATCAGCTATGAGTCCATAATGGGCTACATTTGACCCCACCTAGTTTAGCTTTCATTTCAGTATGAGTTGAATGAGACCTTGAACAAGAAACCCCTTTAGGGCCTTAATTTTCTCTTCTATAAAATCAAATGATTAAACTATCTGATCCCTAAAGTACATTCAAGCCCCAAGATAATATTTTAAGGTTTCTTTTTTGAAGGGGGAGGGGCAAAGGTAGTGATTGACTTCATGTCCATTTTTGGCCCCTTCCCGCAAAGCCTCTAGCTATAGGGGTTGCCACACCATTTCCCATACTGCAGGCATTTTGGATGTCAAACATGAAGAAATAAGGAACTTTAGTACATAATTATGAAGAATAATTAGTTTATTAATTTATTTTTGGCTAGGCAATGGGGTTAAGTGACTTTCCCAGGGTCACATAGCTAGTGAGTGTTATGTGTCTGAGGCCGGATTTGAATCCAGGCCTCCTGAATCCAGGACTGGTGGTCTATCCACTGTGCCACCTAGCTGCCCATAGGAATAATTAGTTTAAATAGCGAGTTACCAAGTGGTCTGTTCCTTAGGGGGAGCAACCTAATGGTCTCTTGGAGTTTCTGGCTTCTCCCCTTCTGAACCTCATCAATTTGTTTCTAAGCCATCTCTTAGTGTGATGTATACCTCAGCACCTGGCCAACCTCACACATTCTAGGTCACTTCTTATTAATACTTTCAGTGTTAAAGAGTGGCATTTTCTGAGCATTTCCCAATCTTAGGGTTATATACCCTATTTGGGAACCACAGTTAACCTACCCTCACTTGGCTGAGCACAAATATTGACAGAGCTCTGCTAGGCCCTCTGTCATAGGATTTAGAAGAATACAAGGGAAGTTTCATTCTTAACGCTTACCCTTACTAAGGATTTTGTAGTCTATTTAAGAAGCTAAACACACACACAAAACAATTAGAAAGACATTCAAAACAGTATTTAATTAAAGAATAATACTGACTTTAAGTGCATTGAGAATTTGAAGAAAAGAATGATTAAAGTGAGTTTTAATATCAGTTAAAATTTCATGGAAGAAATGGGATTTGTGCTGAGTAGGAAGTTGGTTTAGGAGCGATAAAGGATCTTCTAGATTGAGGAGAGCAGTGTAAACAGAACCAGAGATGGAAACGAGCAGTTTCTTCATCTGCATGATGGGAATAATATCATTTATACAACTTACCTCATAGGTATTGTTATGACAAAAGTCCTTTATAAACCTTTAAGTGCCAGAAATGTGAGTATTAGTCATTATTATTATATCCATGGTCATTCACATCTGGAAGAGTCACATCAGAAGTGTTTTAGCCCAACTCATACCTGAAATAGGAATTCTCTCTATTACATCTCCAAGCAGTTAGCCAAGTTCTGTTTGAAGACCTCCAGCAATGGGAAGCTTACTATCTCCTGAGGAAGCCAATTTCATTATTGGACAACTCTTATTTGTCACTTTTTTTCAACTGCTGTCTACCTCTTTGTATCTTCCCCCAACTCCACTCCCCAACTCACAGGTCCTAATTCTTTCCTTAGGGGTCAAATAGACTGTCATTTCCATTTACCACCCACTGGGTTGTTACAGTTGGTGATCATAGCCTTCCTAAGCCTTTTTATCTCTGGGCTAAACATTTTCAGTTTGCTCACCTAATCCTTAGATGAGATGACATCATGTCTAGTCCCCTCACTCTCCTGGTCTCCCTCCTCTGACTATACTCCAGCTTATCAGTGTTCTTTCTACTACTTGCTACTCAAGAGTGAACATTCAACTTAGTACTCCTCATCTAGTGTGACAGCTCAGAAGACAATGGCACTATCACCTTCATCATTCTGGAAACCATGCACCTGTTAATGTTGCCTTTAATACATTAACATCTTAGGCTGCCCTATAACGCTGCTTACTCACATTGAGCTTACAGTCTGTCCATTAAAACTCCCATATCCTTTCCACTTATAATGCTGTCTAGCCACATCTCCTACTTCCTGTCCTTGGATAATTTATTTTTCTTAACTTAAGTACAGGGTTTAGAAGTTTAATAAAGAGAAAAATGATCTTATTAGGTTCTTGCCTGTCAAGACTATTTGGCCCCTGATGACGTTTGTTGTTCAACATATTTATAATAATAATAACGCCCATATAAATTACTTTAAGATTTCTATGGGTGTTTTCCTCACAATAATGGTGGGTAGTACAAGTATTATCCCCATTTTATGGATGAGAAGAGGGAGATTCTAAGGTTGAACAACATTCTCATGGTTACACAGCTATGTTAAGTGTTGAAGCTGGGCCCCAAACTTGAATCTTCTTACCCCAGGTTTAGTGTTCTTTCTGTTAGTTTGGCTATCCTTTGTGGTTTTGTGTGATCTGCAGATTTGATGACCACACCACCTATGCCTTTATCTAAATCATTGATGAAAATGTTTAACAAGACTTTAGTGACACTTCCCTAGAGACCTCCTCAGGTTGGCATATACCAATTGATTGACACTTCAATTTACATTTAATTCATTTTAATTGAAATATGTACCCTTGAATAAAGGCCATAGGCTTTATTGAGAGGGGTCAGTGGGAGGATGCCATAAAGGGAATGCCAGAATTTTTAACTGCTCTGAATAACAGGGAAATTGTTCCACTATCTGGAGGCTCCATATTGGTGACTGCATCTGTTTTCCACCATTGTGAGAAATAACAGAAGGATTCTGCCCTAGTGGTGGATTCATGGGGCCTTTGTCCTAGAATAAGATCTTAGAGATCATCTGATCCACCCTGCTGTTAGAGACTGGGAGGAAGAAACTGAGCTCTATGAATTTCCTGTGGTTATACAGTCAGTCAATGGCCAGGTGAGAAGGAGAAAGCTATCTTTGTATGAGGGAAAGAACATTAGATCAGTAGCCAGAAGACCTTAGTTCTGCCTCTAGCCTTGGCTTTTCTACTGACTGACTGTGTGACCTGCTTAGACCAATATACTATTCCTGTCCTAAGTAGTTCAAAGAGATTACCTTGTAGGAGATAAGATACTTACTCATCATGTAACAAAAATTCACTCTGTCAATTTCCTATAAATTCTGGGAACCAAGCTTCTATCTGCCATATTTACCATGAACACTTTTCCCCATTCAATTGCTTTTCTATTTTATATTTATTATTATATACACATTAAATATATATAATTTTACATAATACAAACACAATAAAATAATATATAATTTAATTTCTATATCTATACACACATATGTGTATACACACAAATACGCATACATATATTTGTTGTTGAGTAGTTTCAGTTATGTACAACTCTTTGTGTGACTCCATTTTGGGGTTTTCTTGACAAAGATACAAGAATGGTTTGCCATTTCCTTCTCTAGCTCATTTTACAGATGAGGAAACTGAGGCAAAAAGGGTTGTGACTTACCCAGAGTCACCCAGCTAGTAAGTGTCAGAGGCCAGATTGGAGCTCAGGAAGATGAGTCTTCCTGATTCCAAGCATATGTGTGTGTGTGTGTGTGTGTGTGTGTGTGTGTGTGTGTGTGTGTGT